GAAGATTAAATCCGAGGCAAGTGTATTCACTCTCTCCTTAAGACAATATTGCCCCGCTACGGTGCTCACGGTTGGCGGCAATTGTCTCCCAAGATACAACGGATTCGATTTGTGGTAGTAGCACTTCAAACCACAAATCCGGCGAACTTTCGACGGAGTTTCCCCTCTACAAGGAATATAATATATGAAAAGAGATGAAGAAGAAGAGAATTGCAATTTTGAGAAGAATGAATGCTCAATATGCAAATGGTGTACTCTCAAAGTCATCCAAGGGGTCCTTTATATAGAGAATGGAGTGGTGTGATGAAAGGATTTGAGCCAAACCATGCAACCTTCCAAACAGGTGCCACTATTCCAAAACCACAATTTCTCATTCATTTTTGAATTGGTTTATTAATAAACACCATTTCCAACAGATCCATCATTATTTATTGAACTAAGTAACATGACCCTTTAATTTTATAAATATATACATCAATATAACAACAATATGTATATAGATACATATTAAGGTACAGAACACATTTAGTCATTCACCAATCGAAGTTTCTTCGTTACAATGATTCGATTTTTTCATAAATTATACTAACTCCGTCCAATTGAGAAAATATAAGTAGAACAATAAGTTTTAATAATTTCGTGATGCATGTGAAGACTATTGACAGAAATACCCTATTGTTGATGAATTGTCAACAAAAGGAAATGTGGTAATCTCTTATGGAATTTTCATCGGAGGACCATCTACGTCACACTGGGAAAACTCCTATTGGTGACTACTAACAATTTCACCTCTCGAATTTGAATCAGTGGTTACCAACATAAAAAATGTTGGAACTTCCGGGATTAAATCTTGGGATTGGCTCCAAGGGTCGAGGTAGTGCGACCTCGGCCCCTGATTTGAATTCGGCGGCCCCCCATGTGATTCAAGATCAAGCCAAACTCGAAATTTAATCCTAGGCTCTGAAGCGACGCTGTACCAACATAGTTGTCTAGATACCAATGACATTTCTGACGAACTGATAATGATGTTGCACACATTTTTCAATTTTTCTAAATAAATTTTTAAAAATCTCTAGAAAGTTGCATCAAATAAGATACAAGTATTAAAACATAATTTAGTGTGCTATACATTTTTTTTTCCTAAAAAAGACCTAATACTATAGGCTTGTTTGAGCCACATTATTTTCAGAAAAATACATTCTTCAACGGTGATTTAACATCATTTCAGCTATACATTCTTTAATAAAATAATAGTACACGCAAATTTAAAACTTTTTCTTATTTTTTAACCACACATTTCCCATTGATTTGACAAGAATAATGCATTTTTTCCTAAAATGTGGCTCAAAATGGGATACATTTCGTTTCGTGTTTTGAATTTTAGTATTTTGATTGGTGAAACGAGAAAAAAAAATTTCTCTTTCATAAAGTCTTCCTACCAATAGCTTGCATTTACAACTCTTCTTATAAATATCTTAAATTTTCAGAATAGAAATTACGCCCTTGCACGGTTCCATTAAAATTAAATTTTGAGAAAAAAATATATTTTCAAATAATGATTTTTGAAAAATGTGTGGTCAACCAAAAAAGAATTTTTTTCGACTTACATGTGATATTATTTTATGGAGAAAATTCATATATCAAGGGGTAAAGTACAGGCCAATTCAAAACTTAGACAATAAATTTAAATTTTCAAATTTCAAGTGATAACTAAATAACTAAAAATAGTTAAATCATAGTTATACAATTAATGGTCATAGTCATATAATTATAGGTCACACACTATCAAATTAATTGGTCAGAAATTATTTTTTGGTCACATATTAAAAATATTATAGGTCACAACTTACTTAACAATCACGGATTTTCAAGTTAGTTGGTCCCAAATTATCGAATTTTTAGGTCACAATTAAATGATTGATCACATACACAAAATAGTTCACCCTGCCTTCTATTCCAATCCACTACCAATACTTGTTTACAAATCAACTATGTTATTGGTCACCAACACCAATACCACAACACTACCATCAACACAACACTATTGCTGTCAACCACCATCACCATCACCATCACCATCACCATCGTCATCAACGACCAACACCGTCATCCTCGTCGTCGAACACCACCACCCTACCAGCACCGCCAATATCACAACTGTCTCGCCACTACAGCCAACATGACAACCATCACTACCCAACTACAAACACCACCACAATTTGCAAACCACCACGAAGTACCCCTTAAAACTCCAAATTTTCACCACCTTATTGCCAACACCAAAAATAACGCACAACAAATCGGAGGAAAGAAACACCACGTCACCATGATTGCAACAACGACTGTAGTGCGCACAACGCCGTCACTGACTGGTGTGTGGAGTCGCCCCAGACATATTAGTGGGAAGAAACACCACATCCACATCATCGTCGTCCCCAAATCACACCCATATCGCTGTCGTCATTGTTGTCGAGAAGAGCGCATAGCATCGTCACAGCATGCGATGAGTGAAGCGCGGATTTGAGTGCAGCGCTGCCACTCATGGATCTCATTGAGGAGAGAGAGAGAGAGAGAGAGAGAGAGAGAGAGAGAGAGAGAGAGAGAATGGATTAGATTTAGGATTTGAAATTGTGTGAGGTGTGTGTTTTGGTGAGTGTTGAATTTGTAATATAATTATTAATATTAAAATATTAAATTGTCACTTGATTTTTTATTAAAAATACTTCATATCTGATTTTTGAATTGTGATCTTTAAATATATGCTCTAGTGTGATTTTTCCTTATTTTATTTGAGAATTGTAATTGAAAAGAAGATAGATAAAAATGCATTTTGAATAAAATATAGTCCAAATAAGGACTATAGGCCTGTTTGAGCACCATTATTTTCTAATAATTTATTTTGGAATAGTAAATTAGCGAAAATGTGTGGTTAAAAAAAAAGAAAAATTGTGAATTTGCATGTAGTATTATTTTATAGAAAAATGTGTGATTGAAAGAGAGAGAGATGTATTTTGAAAAGAATAAGGATCAAACAATGGCTGTATTTTGCGTATCTTATATCATATTTTGTAATAGTAGATTGATGAACACTGTGTAGTTAAAAAATAAATAAAAATTTTGAATTTGCTTATAATATTATTTTTTAGAAGAATATATGATTGAAAATAAGAGAAAGAAAAATATATTTTAAAAATAATGGGATCAAAATAATGGTTAAGTCATTGGATTCGATATTTGTCGAACATAGCTATAGGTATAGATGCCTGTGGAGATAGAGGTAGACTGTTATCTCTGTTTCATTCTTTATGCAATTGATTGCAATTATCATCATCATCATTCCAACCGTGGAAATAATCGATTCATCATCAATTCAGGTGGAATAAATTTGACATAATGGTCAAACTTTTCAGAAGATTTCCCAACGAACCAACTCCAATTTTCTCCCATTGTGGAAGGTTTATTCTACTACCATTAGTCAAACTTAAAAAATAAACTCTTCTTAACCATTTATAACGCAATTTCTTTTCCGAAATCATAGTTGATGTACAGTAAGTGAAATAATTAATTATAAAATAAGTTATGAAGCCGCCATAACTGCTTGCCCATTGCACTGATATCGGAAGCCGACTAACTGTATGGCTCTCCACGCTACAGTAACATGATATGTGTCCACAAGATCCTACCAGTTTTGTTTCTTCATGACTAAGCTTGAGCCGGGACCCACATGCTGATGTAAGCCCCATGTACACTTCTAAAAGCCAAGAGCTGCCCCCACCACCATTAGTGGAGCCTGACTCAAAAGCAGCTCCTTTAAAGCTTTTAATTGACCAAAATGCCCCTATGTGGGCCACAGAATGGCTTACCCCTTGCCCATAAATACCCCCCTCCTTCCTCTCTACACTTCCCTTTCCCCTTTTAAGCTCTCTACACCCCTAGAAGCGGTTTTCCGGCGCTGATGTCAACATTTCCTTCCGTTCTTTCCTCCGAATCTTTATTCTGGAACCCATGTCCATCTTTCGAAGGCGGTTTCACTCCTTGGGATTCCCATGACCGACCATTTCTCTTTCCACCACAAGAAGAACCGGTCATTGTTAACCATCCACTACCTCAAGAACCGATCAATTCCAATTCAAGTTCTGACAACCCATTCCCCCTCACTCCAAATTCTTGCTCCAATGAAACGAACCGGAATAGCTGTAAAACCATGAGCTCCGGTTCAGAGGAGACTATCCGTTTAGGTGATAACGCGATCATAGATGAGAAAAAGCTTAGACGCATGCTATCGAACAGGGAATCGGCGCGACGGTCCCGAATGCGTAAACAGAATCATTTGGAGACCTTGAGGAACCTCGCGGACCTGTTTAGTATTGGGAACCGAAAACTGAAGAACCGAGTGCTTTTGATGACAAATCAGAACCAATTCGTCCGGCGACAAAATGATCACCTCCGATCGGAGGCGTCCATGCTCAGGCAGAGATTGTGGGAAATACGTCAAGTATTGCTTGTTCGGCAGCTTCAGCAGCACTTAAATCCCTGCATGGCCATGCAATAACACTACGTCCATCAATGAAGAACAAATTCTGCCTCGATCATTAAATATATAACATTTATAATAATAATAATAATAAAATAAATAAGCCCGTTTCTTGAAAAACCTGCATGCATTCATGAACCCTAGGAAAATCTTCGTTTAGTGTCGGTCAGTGTAAATTAAATCTAGAAGAGGAAGAAATTGGGTGAGGCTTTTTGGAACTGGATGTCTTTTTCTTTTCTTTTCTTTTTTTTTTCCTGCGAGTTAGTATTATTTTGTACAGAGTTTCTTGACGTATGACTTTATTTAATTAATCAAATGATATGTTAATATGTAGCTAAAATTTCAGTTTTGCAATATTAATTTGGGCATGCGGTTCAATTATATAGATCAAACAACGACATGGAAGCAATTATATGCATCCAAGATCGAACAGTACAATATATATATATATATTTAATGGAGCGCTCGAATGTTGTCAATTATTGCATTGAGTGTCAAAAGCTAAAGCACATTTCCTTGATGATAATGCAAAGTGTTGTGCTACTTGGACAGGGTCACGTCAATTCTATTCAAATAGGGGCACCAAGTGGCGCTCCTCTACTGGCAAAGGTTTGTATGGTCCTGTTCAAGAAGAATTATATTCTAATACAAATCATGATTCAATAAATATAATTGTCAAAACACATCAAAAAATTTTTGGAACAAAATACATTAGATACGAACACCCATCCCTAGCACCCAACCCTGATTGGTGAAAACGATTAATAACATAAGAAGGAACAAATTAAGTAACAATCATATTTGTCACAATAATTATGTTCAAAATAGTTTATGGATATGAAAAATATTTGAGGATTCTTTGGTAATTAGAACTTGATGAAATAAGGATATTTTTTTTCCCTTTTTCCTTTCGTAAGACATTAAAACTGCTCGTTTGGTTGGATTTCTATTTTTGCTTTCACATTTTGTGAAGAGCTTTTTATGAAGTTTTCTTATGTCAACTTCCTTTAAAATGTCTTCTTTTCGATAAAATACTTGCAAAAAATTATTTAAACGTGTTCTAAAGTAATTTCTTATTCGCAAAAGCTACTTATGAATTTTCAAATACTTTTGGTCTAGTCCAGAATCAATTTACTTTACCCATCATATATTAGAGATTGTTCGACGTAGATTTGCAGCAAATCAAATTATAAAAATTAGTGGATCTTATGAAATGTGTGGTTAAAAATAAAACTTAATCAACTTTTGAACAAAGGAAGCTACATCAAACAGACTCTTAATATATAGTTTTTGTGCAAACCGCAGACGCATTCAAGTTTACGATATTGTTTCACAGTCCACGTCCAAAAGAAAAAAAGTAATAAATAAATTAAACTCGATGTTGGACAAAGAATCAATCAGAGACGGCAAATATGGTTCTTTATGTGAATAAGCAAGGTTTCATATCAACCTACTTTTTGCTTGATTGGTTTTGGATGAAGCATAATTAAAGATGGGAACTTTAATGTTTTATTAAGTAAAAAAATAATGGATGCCTTTATATTTTCATTGGAAAAGACACAGACGCTCAAACAGGTAGACCAATTAACCTAAAAAAATTAAAGAGGATGCACACGTCAATCCCATCTCTAATTAATTAATAACTTTGATAAAAAATAATTAGAGCTAATAAACACTAAAAAATTGTCAATTAGTTTAGTGGGCAACTAATGAAAAAGGTCTTTAGGCACAAGTGCAACGGATATTCCCCTCATACATCCATAAATCCGATTACAAAGTGGAAACCGGAAACAAAGAAGATCAATTTATTTTTTTTAAAGGTCTTTTATCTTTTTTGGTAAAAAATCAATTTTTTATGTGTAATTTTTTTTTTTCCACGTAGTAGCCCGGTTTGAAATTTTATAACCCCGTCTTAGATTCAATCCTGAATCCATTCCTGAACACCAATATTCATCATGTATGACATTCGAAACACAAAACTATAACCATGATTTGCATAATCAACCTACTGAAATTTGCGACAAGATAGCTTTGCTCAGTGTAATTATATATACTAATTTCGAGAACTAGTAAATAGCACAAATTTCTACTTTCTAATTTCTGCTCAATTATTCACTTCGGCATCACGGACTTAAGCAGAGAATTTTCGACCATTGTACCCCATCTTTTCAACGTCAATCAGGCTAATCAAATGTTCATTTTTAGGATTAGCATTCAACTCACGATCAAACCGATTTCCATCCGCCATACAAGATTTAACACCAATGTTACAAATCAGGTATCACATATAACGACTGCATAGCATGTGCCAAAAAATAATTACAGGATAACTAGGGCAGTTTGATAGGCTTTTGAAAAATTAAAAGTTGTTTAGAGATTAATAAGCTATTTTTGAATTTATTCAAATAAATTTTTAAAAGTGTTTTGTCGAAGCTTTTAGATAAAAGAAAAATAGAAATTCAATCAAATGAGCCTTAATCACGTGTCCTCATTTGATGATAAATGTAATGTTCCCACCTAGGGGGCAGTAAATTATACAAAATATGGAAATCATAAAATGATGCCAAGATGGTGTGTCTATCTCATTGACAAGTAACTACTACCTGCAGAATTCCAAAGAAAGAAAGAAAGAAAGAATTTATTAATTTTATATTTTATTCTAATATATTTCTGTACATGCAAGTTTGACACCAGAATTTTTTTTTTTAAAATAAGTTACGAGGAATTTTAAATTTAATTAAAATGGATAATATGTTTTTTTGCATTTAATTGGATTTTTATATAATTTTAT